TGTTTTGTGCCTATAGAACTACTGTACAAACTGTCTCTTATACACATCTAGATGTGTATAAGAGACAGAGTTAGGGAAGAACCTGTATAAGCAATGATCTAAAAGTAACTACCTTGCATTTGTTCATGTTTCATACTGTACAATTGATGGGAATGATGTTGGTACCCTCTTTGCCTTTAAATATTGACTAGAAACTAGAAAGTAATCTCCTTGCATCGAACGAAGTAATATATTGTATTTTTCTACTTAAAATATATAATATAAAACATTCAAACTACTGTATATTGTTTGTCGCCCTCTAGATGGAGAAGAAGAAGTCCATTGGCTCAAGGAAGCTGGCTTCCATCAGCTGACACATAAATTTAAAGGTAACATTTATTACTGTACTGTACATCTTTTTCTAATGTAATATAAAAAATAAATAACAATACTGATTTTTTAATTTTAAGGCAAACATTTGGAAATGGGCTTATACCAAGGCAATTAAACAAAGGGAAGTACATATCGGGACATCAAATATATAACTCTGGCATCGACATTCTACGCGCTGCATGCCCCGACACGCTGATCTTCACAAAAACCATAGCAACCAAACCGTAATTAACCGTCAGCGTGTGACGAATTACCCACGTGCGTGTTATTTGCCATGATTATCGCGCATCTTGCGGTGATTACAAAGGCCTAATGATATTTTGCACTAACATTAGACTGAAATTATATTCGTTATTTCAACATTAATTTTAACAATGAGGTGGTGTCCGGTGGTTCATGAGACTCACTTCACAGTTTTCTCACTTGGTCAATTTTCACAAATCAAACTGAAGTTTATAGATGCACTTAATAAGCTTGTGTTCAAAAGAAATTAGATGTAACGGACATGGTGTATTACCCAAAATTAATAAAATAGAAACGCACACCATAAAACGTATGGCACGCATAGACTAACAATTGACGGCATTGACTGATACTAAACAAAGAGTGTGAAGGAAGTTGGCCATAGTGTATATTGTATGTCACTGTTTCCAATGAATAACATATGAGAAATGCTTTGACATTAGAAAGTGTTATACATTCTTTTTTCTTATAATTCAGATTATTCCTCTTCAACATACTAACACAATTTGCCTCAAGGTTGAATAAGCAATCATGTTGAAATGTATTACCAGGTGAAAATGTAATAATTATTTTAATTACATTATACTTTCAGTGGTTGTATTCGTAAGCGACAATGATATGATTGAATTTTTAAGCCTGTCAAATGTTTGTACTTTTGTATTACTTGTACTACACACCACATACACAAATAAAATTTTTCCTGGAGCTTGGGTAAACTATCATGTGAAAATGTATCACATTGTGAAAAAGTAATATTTAATGTTTAAATTTAAATTAATTAATAGTATTACTATAGTGCAAAAATAACTGTCATCTAGTGGGAGGGAGCTAGTTGGAGATACTACTACTACTTGAATGTAAATTTTTTTTGGTCAAAAAATTGAGGGAGGTTAGTTGGAGTAGGGGCAGTAACATATTCTGGAGGGGTGTGTATCCCCACACTCCTCTTAGGTATGCCACCGATGGCACCTGAAAAACAACAACAGAGTTGATGTGCTGGTGTCTCAAACTGTAGGTGTACGTCGTAATAAAAAATAAAAAATTAAGAACTACATTTATGAAAAGCCATGCTAGTGTATTGAGAAACACTCAGCGTATTTAATGAAATAGAGAACTTACCAATTTGATTGCATAGATTGTTGTAAGCCTGGGGCACAGGTGCACCAAACACAGCACCACGCATGTTTGCCATTAACGGTGCTCGGTTTTGTTTACCACCAAATTTTCCATTACTCTGTACCCGGTTCCCATTTCTCGTTAATAGTGATGGACAGTGTGTAAATTTTATTAACTTGAAAAGAATAAAAATATTAATGAAGTAAATTTATGTACGCTTAGATACACTAATAGTAAATTAAAGCAAAGAGCACTTAACAGAGAAACATTATTAAACCACAAACACTTGTTCACAAAAGACCAGTTCCTTTTTTTTTTTAGCATGTTTTTCATTGGAAGTGGAACCTTGGAATTCAATCAAAATGATTAAGAAAATAACAGTTCTCCTATTTTGTAATGGCAAAATGACATCCACTATCAAGAAAAACAGGTCACAAAAGAAATAAAAGAAGTGTTTACATATATAGTACAAATGATCCTTATAAGTTTAATAAGGAATGTTTACTTTCTCTATACTTACCTCCATTCTGTACTTATTTGCATCTTCAAGGGTGTCCAAAACTATTGTATTACCCAACAACATCAGGAAAACTGAAAGAAATTAAAACATACATTTATGACAATCATATACAAAATACATAATAACGATTAAACTTTAACATTGTTGTATGCTAATACATACAGTCGATGAGGAGTACAAACTATCAACAGGCAAAAATTGAACCAATTGACTATTCCTTTGAGGTGTCTAATGTCAAATACCTACAGAATGTGAGCAACGTCTATTCTGCTAAATCCTTGAACAAATATCAATTAAGCATGTCCAATATTATTTAAAAAAAAGGCTCACTTGGAAACTAAATGACACTATAAAATGACTCACCTAATTTACAATCCTCTTCCGCAGCTGGGAACTTCAACAAATGGCGGGCGTAGATAGGGTTTCCAGACGGGTTGTAACCCTTCTTAAATTTTGTATGAGGAAGTGGTCTGAAAAAAACCCAAAAAAATCATACAAAGGTACTGAAAAATTTCTTTTGTTAAACACTTAATACAAAAGTAGTAGTATAAAAACTGCATCCCCCACCACCCCCAACAAGATTCCCCTGTATCACCCTATATACTTGTATCCGGGCATTTCTGCTTCATTTCTCTTTTGTACATTTTTTTTCTAGAATCAATTCCTCAATTGCCTTTCTTCCTACCCCATTCATTGTACTCCTGCACCATCCCTTGCATCCCCACCCCAATTCCATCAATTCCTACCCTATTCACTGTTCAACCCTGGCCCATTCTAATGCATACTTGCCCTACAATAAAACCTTGAATAGAAGCCCTCTCTATCCTTACTTGTTCCATTCTGGTAAGTTCTTCTTGAATACTGAATCAAGAGGTAGCACCTGCTGCAATCCTTTTGTGTCATCATAGATCTCTTTGGCTCTGGCTGATGTCTTGGTGATGACACAGTCCATGTCACTAGCCAGGTGCCAGGACAGTACAAGTGCAACATTATCATCTTCAACCTCTGCCAGGTGAGCTAACTATTTAATAAATTCAAACATAAAAATATGTAAAACCTTCACAAATGTAAATATCAGATTCTGTACATAATTCATTTATCAATCACTTAATTTACAAGACCTCGAGATCAGGGTTTTAATCCTTCGCTTTGCATTTCGCTTGTGTCCTTGACCAGTATTTGCATTTTAGTATAAAGATTATTTAATCAATTAAAAAAAAAATAAATAGCCACAAATTTTAAGAAAATATTTAAAAAGCATGTGGAGGAGTGTGGATAACTAAGTAGACAATAAGTTTAATAAGTTTGTGCTTACTTTGCCCAGAGTTAACGAATCTCTTATCCGCACCTTCTCCAGTCCACATGTTCTGCGAGGTCGTCGTAAGTAACTCTCTCTCTCCACTGATAATTCTGTTATCAGTTTACTTATGCTGACTTCCTAAGTATAAAAAAACAAAACAGACATTAATAAAAGAGATTGTTCATTGAGAGATAATGTACAAGTTTTAAACAAGGCCATGGCTAAATAACAAATCACAGGATTTTGTGCATGCATGGTCAGCCACATTCTTCTGATGTTAAATTTACCACAAAATACCGCCTGGTCTCCATAAAAATCGCTACACACTATCGCCAACTCTTTTGGCGACGCTGGTTTGTCAGTTGATCAGGGAGCGTTCCCGATTGCTTCGGGGACGGCTACGCAGTGATTGTATTGAAAATGCTGTAGCGACTATGTAGTGATTCTAAGAAAACCAGGTTTAAGCCAGAATCACAGGTCATTAGGTTGCCATGCAATAATGCTTTTATTAATAGCTTTACACTTGGATGAGGTGCATCTCAAGTGGATCCCTAATAGACCGTTCTGCTAAGCCCATCGCTAGGATACTGTTGCTAAGTAAATGTAATTAAACATGCGCATTTGTAAGACAACACATGTGTTTGTTGGACATGTGCATACTCATCGCACTTTTCTGATTGGTCAGTTGTTAAGTCAGGTCGACACTCCAAAAAGATCCATTCTGGCAAGAGACAGAGTATCAGTAACTGATTTTAGTACACTTTTCCAATAAAAAAATCACCATGTGGTGAACTGATAGGCTAAAGCCTTATTGTAGTTAAATGTAAGCGAAGTGTAATATTGATGTACCCATTAATAGAGAAGGCAGTATTATTTTCTCATTTTAATTTTCACCTAAAAGCTAACAACTTGCCATATAAAAGTCAACAGTTCATACCTTGCAATGCATTTTTTGAGTACTTTTTTTTCGACACATAGAATAATTAAACAATTCATTTCTTTCATTGTATATTTTGTAGATTTTAGTTTGACACATAAAGAAAATCTTTGAATAAATACTAACAAGCCATTATTTCAAACAAGGATGGAACCAAAGAGTATAGAATTGTTCTGAGGTCTGACTATCCTTATTTTGCATGCATGCAATGAAACGAAATGCCAAGTACTACCATGAGATTGTGGGCGCCCTATTAGAATTTGAATAGGTTCGAAACTCGAACATGTGTTCTATAGATGCAGCAAACATTCGAAACAAATGCCTATTATGATTTTCGAAGGGTCCCCTCTAGTTTGTTTGAGATAGCATTGTGTTTCAAGGAAACCACAACAGTTTCTTTGATGAAAGTGAGTACCCTAGACGTACCGAACGAAGCTGCTGTACAGGAATGTTCATCTGCTGTAGCTCCCTCCTGGTTTGATTCTCAACGTCAACAGCTTCTGAATGCGCATCTAAACACAACAAAATAGCATTAACTTATAAGAAAAACAATTATATTCTTGTATGGCAACAATGTAATAACTGTATCACCCAAAAATCTATGAATATACAGACTAAAACGGCAAACATGCAAACAGAACTGAAGTGAAAAGAATTCATATTGGAAATTTGAATACTGTCACTATTTTAATAGTGACAAAATTAAAATTAATTAAAATTTCACAGTTGAAAACAACTTTACAGAATTGTATTGCCCTGAATATTTCTTCATAACGTACATACAATGAATGCACCCTTTATCCGGACATTGGCATCTTGCATTCTGCTAAATTTCAAACTGCTCAATAATAAAACACCCCATTTTCATAGTAAGAATATGTATATCTATTATGATTACTAAACAATGAGACAGCATTAAGAAGAGCACAGACAAAATGCAATAGACCAATAGTAAGTACATCATCTTACTTTTCATCTCTTTGACTAACTGGTCAATGGTCTCAAAGAGTTCTTTGTAGGCCTTGATGGCCTGTACGAGAGTATCACGTTCTTTGCTCAGTGACGCCATGCGCAGTTGCTTACGGGCATCTGAAAATCAAAGGTATTTTGCAATTGGTAAATGAGCACACTAAACAAAAAAAACCAGTTATTTATACTCTATATAACTCTGCTTTCCTGATTAACCTTATAATTATGTATTCATCACATTGTATCAATGACAAAAATTAATGAATTACACAATAAATAATACTACCATTATTGTTTACTACTTCTGATATTAAATTTATCAAAAAATACAATGTAAAAAAACAAACCCTGATTTCTAAATGTCAAAATAGCAATGATAACAAAATAATATTAACATATTTCCATGTCAGCTATTGTACATTGCATTGAAGTATTTCAAATGTCTGCAAATTTACTTACCATTATAAAACAAAAATGGCTGATAAAATGGTTGTACTTTGTTTTGAAGTTTTGATGAGTTTATAGCCATCTTCACAACATACTCAGCACCATCTTTACCCGGTGTGTTGGCCTCAATAGTTATGTTCTGATAAAATGAGAGGAAAAACTTATATACCAATATATTGGCTTTTATTTGTAGATGAATTGATTGATACAATAAAAAATATGATATAAGCAAAAAAGCACAAACATCTATAGACTAAAACTTCAATTGTAAATTAGAGAATTACAAAATTTATTTAATTATTATCCAACTAAATCTTGTTAATTACTGGATAAAAAAGAATAATTAACAAAGTACAGTATGTAATTAGATCAATAATAAATCTAGATTGTAAATTTTATTAGAAAAAAATTATTAAAAAATCATGACTGTTGTAAGAGACTGGGGCCATGTTCTACACAAGTACAATGGCTTACACATCTATTCCTGAAAGATGGTGCATTATATATCTTGCATTTTACACAGAGAGCTCCTTGTTAGGATAGAACAACAATAATAATAATAATAATGGTTGGATTTATATAGTGCTTTACACCAGTGTCTCAAAGCGCTCAAAGCGTGGACTAGTCCAGACATTAACGTTTTTCTCCCTGAAGGGTCTCTTCGTGTCTGAGCTACGGAGTATACCTGTGCCAGCCACTCTTGTCAGTCCACAACAGGGGCTATATGGACCAGTACACTGGAGTAACCCCCTATTCATTTCGAAAAATGTACTAGGTTCTTTAAAGTGCACATGATCCCCCCTGAACCGCAGGTGAGTGTGTCGTTCAAACCAGTGCCGTTTTAATGGCCATAGGTTGTGGCGTCCCTGCCTTAACCGCTTGGCCATAACTTAAAGATCTCCAGGTTTAAATATTCTGATTTAAGTAACTCACTGGTATTAACAATTATGTGCTGACTAATACTGTAGCTAAATTACCTATGAAGAATAGGCCTACAACATTAAATTCATACCTCAATTTTAGCACAACCTTTGACCATTGGAAAGGTTAAATTACTGACAGTTTTATCAAGACATGGGATCTCTAAATCATCATCTTCCATGGCAGCTTTGGAACCAGAGACCGTGACAGACACCTTGCCATTGACATCCTCACCAGCTGGGTTACCAAATTCATCCTGTAGTAAATACACATCAAATGGTCATTCTCACTTGTTAAAGCCCTATCCAGACATGCGGCAGACATGCCTAAATACGATCATCATGACATCACATCATGACCATATATAGGCACATCATGGCTATATATGGGCATAAAACAGTTTTTTTTTGTCAAGGAATATTTGATAGTCAGGACAGAGTTCAACAATAATTGTAATGATGATGACAACACTAATGAAGATGGTGGTAGTAAATATGATGATAATGCTGATGATAATGAAGAGCAAAATAATGATGCCAATGGCCAAATGATGAATATCATCATGATTTATTCTTACCCTTAGCTGCAATTTAAGACTGCTTATCAGTACGCGGGTGTTAGGCCTAGGACTGTTCGATACAGTAGGGGTGGCTTGAGAGGTGTCTGATACCAGCTTCACAGGTGGTCCAGGGGATATGGTAACCTTATGCTAAAAAAATGAATTGACAAATTAAATTAATAATTAGTTAATCAAACATTATTAATGCTATCAAATTACATTACATTACAATACAAAAGAATCTAAAACTTTGTTGATGAGTTTGGACTGTTAATTGAAGCAAAATACAACTTTGTAATATGTTATTATTTATTTAGTTATTTATTTACTCTGGTATATGGAAAGTACAACTACAACAGACAAAGGCAGAAAATGGCAGTAATATTCTCAAAATAATTTTTATAAAAAAGTTTTGAAATTCATAAATGATAAATTAATAATATAAATAAACTTTCTTACAATACCTCTTGTGACCGAATCACAACCTCTTTGTTTTTATATTTACTAGAATAATGGAAGGCAATATAACAGGGTCCGCTATTCTCCGGTGCTTTACGATTCCTAAAATGAATGAATAGGGAGTCATTTAAACATGCTCCTATTAAATTATTTAAAAAAACATTTTTTGCATGTTGATGTAGTTAAAAGTTTTATCATAAGTTGCCCAAACCCAATTTACCCAAAATTATAAAAAAAAAAAACAAGTGTTGGATTTGTTTATAATCTTTTTTAACGACACACTCAGCTATGCTTCTACATGAATGTCATTTTCTTGGACCTTAGCAACAATATCCAAGGGTCAGGGGTTAAGGTAATCATCCCCTTCAAACCTATTTTGATAAATTTTCTTCTATGTATATGTGAACAACAGCTTATATAATTAGCGTGGACAAAAGCAAAACTGGCATTAGCAGGCTTCAAAGAAATATGCCCTTAAAAGTCTGATCACTTGGTAAAAGTTTAAGCAAAAAATGTTTTTATATCAACATGAGAAATTCTCAAAAACCCCCCCTCTCCTCTAACACATGTTAAACTAACCTGAAGTATATAAAATTCTGGTCATCACTAGTCAACCGCGCGTCACTGCTGTAGGACACAGCATTTAACCTCCTTATCACCATTGATACTGATTTTGAGGTAACGTTTTTAAGAGTTCCCTTATCTTCAGTTATAACTCTCACACTGAAATCTGCAGGTTAAAAAGTAATATAAATAAATTTGGTTAAAGATTCAATAAGATGAAAGTGGTTGGTTGGTAAGATCCTGTTACAACTGACAGCTCATGATTTCAGAGATGTAGTGCAAAACCTGATGATTTTCAGCAAGATTTAAGGTCTCAAAAAGGAAACCCAATCATCCTGTTTATACCATCAATCAAAGCAACTCATCTTCGACATGTCATCTTTAATTGAAATGTAATTTTCTAATGGTGGTTATATTATGATGGTACAGTTTTAATACATAGATGTACTACTTCTTAAGAGTTTAGCATATGAGGATGGTAATCTAATAATAATGGTCATCAACATGACCATTATCAACACTGTTATAATCATTTTCTAAATTATAATAATTATTATAATTACTTGCCAATTTTAACCATCTTACCTGGTAAATTGCCTCCAGCCGTCACTTTCTTCTCAGTGAAGGCAACAGCAAGGCTAACTGGTTTGTTAGGGTCTGGCGTAACCCTTACAGTCAGTGGTGGACTTGTGATGCTACTTTTCCCAAATGACGCCTTAACAGTCAACTTGTATGTCCCACTGAATGTGTTCAAAAATTAAATATTTTTGTTATATTCTAATATTGTTTGTTCCGTCCTCTATACATAATCATACACATTGGAAACTCTATACAGTCTGGTGTAATTAGCTGTGTCAATTTGTTACAGTATAATTCTAATCAACATGTTTATAGTGCATGGGTTTAGTAATCACCGGAACAATGTATAATCAAGAGCATCATATGCATCACTACTGCAAGTAGATATACAGTATTGTTTGATCGAACAAAATCTGAAGAGTCTATGCTTAGCTTCAGACATATCATATTGAAAAGTGCAACATCTAGTCCCGAGCGCATAGAGACCTCGTTTATCTGCGCTATATAATCCATCTATTATTATTATTATTATTATTATTATCTGATCAAACAAACAAACTGTATGTTTAGCATGGGTTGTTGGAAGAAGCTAGAAACAATTCCCCTACTTTATAAGAGATGTCTATTAAACCAAAGACTATAAAGAAAGGAAGAACAGTTCATTCTGCTGGAATACGCGTATGCCCGTAATTACGCCATAATGTCCGCACTGCAGTATGATTGAAGTGCACACCTGCAGCTTCATACTGTAATAGAACTGCAAAGTTTCAAAAATAGCAGAATGAACTCTTCACTTTTATGCTCTATCAAACATTGTTGAATCTAACAAACAAAACTCTAATGGTGTAAGGCTTATTTAACAAGTATACAGTGAAAAACCTCTAAAGGAAAGACTTACATTGCAGCTGTCACCTTATACTCCCCAAAACTGAGCAATCCTTTCTTGTCAGAAGTAACTTCCTTGGGTGTTGGACTCAACTATAGTTGAACAGAATTTTTATTTATTTATTTATTTTTTTCTTGTTTAACCTGGGTTAACAACTCAGTTGAAAATCAACTGTTAACAAACTGTTACGATACACAAAACATAAATCCTTATCTACTTACTTCAATAATAATAGAATAATTCATAAGAAAAATTCATAATGACAATAATAATGATAATAATAATAATAATAATAATAATAATAATAATAATAATAATTGCATTAAAATAGGATTAAATACCGGTAAGCCTACCATAAAGATACAAAATAAGTTCTACCGTAAAGATGCAAAATAAGTTGTTTTAACTGTCATCTAATATTATAATTCATAAGAACAACATTAATAATAATAATAATAATAATAATAATAATAATAATAATAATAATGATAATAACAACATTAATAGGATTAAATAAGCCAACAATTAAGATGCTAAAGTAAATTGAGTTAACTGTCATCTAAAACTATAATTCATAAGAACAACATTAATAATAATAATAATAATAATAATAATAATAATAACATTAAAGATTAAATATAAATCTTTCAATTAACTATAGTATTAGTAACTGCATTTTAGACAATGTCAATTCACACTATGACCTTGGATTAATTTTCAACTTAATTTAATGAATATATTAAACACATTAGCTTTAAAGTTATGAGCATCATTAAGACGCTCAAACTGAAATTTAATTATATGTACAGTAACTGACACCATAGATTCAAATCTGGGAGATCATAAACTGCATTTCAGTCTGCTTTGTGTCTTTAGATTCTAAATTACAAGTACAAGTTCAGCGACAATTTAACATTTTTTTCAAAATATGAAAAAGAAAATCTGGATATTCTCAAAATCATAATTTAAAAAAATGATTGATGACACAGGAAGGGTTGTAATGTGTGACACTATGATGAAACCTTGTAATTTTATTAAATTATGTAATTAATGATGAAATTAAGCAGCAACATCTTACCTGAAGACCTGGAGCATATATGGTTGCTTTTACTTGGATATTTGTTGGCACATTGCCAGTGTCATCGGTCAATTGAAGAGATATTGGATTCTCCAAATATGTATCAGTGTGTAAAATGATAGGCTGAAAAAAAACACATAGTAGTCATTTATTCGGATTTTAATAAATATGAAGCTAGGGTTAAAATAATATTAGCTAGGGTAAACTGCATAGGTGGGGTTTTGAAGTACGAGTAGCTACATAGTAATTACCTTGGATTAGGATGAGAGCTAGAGCAAGCAATGGAGGTAGGTAAGATGGGTGTCCAAATTAAGGATTAAGAAACCATAGTTAAATCAAGATAATTCAAAAACTTGACGCACATCCCGGGACATCAAAGGTTATAACTCTGGTGTTGACATTAAACGTGCTGCAGCCCCTACGCGCTTGACAGAGTGTTACGTAGAGCTAGAGTAAGCAATGGAAGTAGGTAAGATGGGAGCCCAAAATTATTAAGAAACTATAGTAAAATTAAGAAGCTAAATAGGTGTGATTATGGTTTGCTAGGGTGTTAGGTAAGCTAGTATTCTATAGTTGACTATGAAGGAGCCAGGCAGCTAGGGTTTTCTAGCTAGGATTATCTAGGCAGTTATAAGCCAGCTAAGGAAAGCTAGGGAGGTAGTGTTGGCAAAGAAGCCTGGATTGTTTGGAGAAAGGGTTATTAGGAGTAAAGGTTGCTTGCAGCCAGGGCTGCCAAAATCTATAATGGCCTGAAGCAAAAACCATTGGCAGCTTTTATATAAAAGAAAGTAAACAATACTGACTAAAAGAAACATGTTCAATTATCAAAAATAAACTCCATTTTACTACTAAAATCTATATTTTTTTTACTGTGCAAGATAAATTCAGATTTTTTGAGGATGGATTTGATCACAAGACACCAAAGCTTAAATAGGCATAAGCATACATATCATACAGGTGTATTTAACAGATAAGGAGCTTTCGATTGCATGACGATGGTAGGACACAAAACATAATGACGTCATCTGCACATGCAATAACGTTAAGTTCTCCTGGTCGCGTAGATTCTAGGATGCAATTTGGCCAAATCTACAAATGCAGAGAACTTAGGACGGCCGGTAGGACATCATGCATGTGTGATTCCGTTCTAGTGTCGCATCGTCAAACAAATTGAAAGCTCCCTAAACTTATATAAACTTACATGAGCTTGATTATAATTCAGGAATGATAACTTTGTGGGTGGCCCAGCATCTATGGTTAGTTTAACATAGTCGGTGAGGTCGCAGTAGGTTATAGCAATTTCCCTTTGTCCAAGAGCCTCTCCAGTAAACCGAATATTCTTCAAGACAAAGCCAACATTTGGCAAAAGCGCCCTCTGGAGTTGTTTTGTGTTCAGGTTATCTGCACTGACCACCAGTTGACTTAGAGCCCCATGAGGTAACTGCAAGATCAGAATAATCCTTGGTTTGTAAAATTATCTCTTTCTCATTCTAATTAATTGTTTTTTATTGTGGTAAAGAAAGTACAAAATTTAAAAAAATATATTCAATAAGGTTGATCAATCCAGTGACAGATCACATACCATTCAATCAAGTAGGTTTCAAAGTATGGGGGGAGTGGTATTTGAGCCAGAACTACACCCATAATGTAGGAATTTGAAGTCAACCACTCTAGCAACTAAGCCACAGGCCTATTCCATTTTCATACCATGTGATCATACCCTAAAAGAGAAATCTATGACAAAAATTCAAATTAAAATACCTTTTTAATGGGATTGGAATGTTCATCAGTGACGCTAATAATAATTTCAGCATCCCATACTTCACCCAAACGCACGCTCTTAGATCCTTTGACTGTTGCTTTCAGTAGTGCTGGAGCACCAGCGGTGGGCCTAAAAGAAAAGAAGATAATTGCAATGGAGCTTTCTGGACTGTCAATCAAACTTAACAATCCAAAACGCACTTGTCCAACACACATGTTGTCTGATAAACGCACATTTTACATACATAGAGCACTATAGTATTACATTGCTATCGGCGACACAAAATGTGTTCAACCGACGCCATTTTCTCATTTCACATTTTCAGCTGTGTGTCTGAATTATGATACTTTTGGCAAATTTAAATATTCACTACTGTATTACAAGCAATAAGTTTTTAAAAAAAATGCTAATAATTTGTAACATAATATTGAGCACCTTGGCAGAATTAAATCAGTATATCGACCCTAATCAAATTAATAAAAATTATTCACAATGACCAGTTAATTAAAAACTGAAAAAAATCTGTTTGAAATTGTACCAAGTATAGTTCATGCTGGCTGTGTCTATTACTGAATTTTGCTACAGTTAACAAATAAAGGTATTCTTGGATCTACACTTACTTGACCGTAAAAGAAAATTCAACGCCAGAACCATCACTTAGGCTTACTTCACAGTACTTAGGGTCTAGGATAGAGTCTGGAATTTTGAGGTTTGGTAGACGTCCTTCCATTAGTTGATCCTTATTGCACCGAGGCAGCCAACTTACTTTAATCTTGTCAGCCAGGTCTCGCGTCATCCTAAGGTGGCGCTTACCCTCATCAAAAAGGGCAAACACTGTAGAATAGTTGGTAACGAAGATGACAAGAAAGATGATGATCATATAATATAGTAATAATGTGATTATAAAAATGATGATGGTGATGATGAAGATGATCATGTAATGTGGTAATTTGATGATCATGAAAATGATGATGATTTAATGATGATGCAATTTTAAGAAAAAAAAAATTAGATGAATATTAAATTATTAAATTCTTTCTATCACTGAGCTTTTTTTAATCATTTTGTAAAATCTATTATACTTATGCCATATAAAATTGGGAAAAAAGTGTAAAGAGATAATATTTGTATGTTTTGAAAAAAGTTCCAACATGACCCTCAGGAGCGGGTGTATTAGTCAGCAGACAACTATTCTGTATATAGATTTAAAATGTTGTTAAATGTTAATTTACAGCTAAGTAAGAGAGCTCAACTTATGTTTACATTTCAAAAGACAATGATATATGGCAGAAATATAAGTTACTTGTTATCAATCCTAGGGTCCTGGGTTCAAATCTCTTCAACAACCTGATGACATATGTAATACATAGTAATACATAAATATATAGTTATTCCAGAGAACTTATATAGCAGAAAAAAAAAGCTCTTCGCGTATTTGCAGCACATCTGCCCACCCGCGAGCGGAGTGAATATCTGACCATTTGACAGAGTGGAGAAACAACTGAAAACAAACAAACCCAGGCAGCGCCTTTATTATGAAGATAGAGCGCAGCCACTTGGATGGAGTAAAATTGCTCTCTATAGACTCCATCCTCCCACAATGCATTTTGACTGGAAATTCCACTATATCATGAAGCTGGTCTATCTTCTTATTCTATTATCTTTGGTAATACACACGACTAGAGATGCTGTCGCACTGACTGTTGGGGTAATTACAAAATTCCAAGTGATTCGGGAGGAAATCCAACCCATTAAGTCCAGTCAAGTAGCCTGGTATCATACCCTTAGACAACAGCAATTGTTCTAGTTGAGCTTGTGCTAATGGCTATGGTGGAACTGTAATAAACTATTGTTTGATTCTTACTGAGGTCTTTGATATGTTCTCCAGCAGTACAGTCCAGTTCCTGTTGGGGAAGCAGCTTCTCCAGCTTGCCATCTGGCTTAGTGAAGTAGACATCAAGGTAACAAGGCTGACAGCTAGGAATGATCGTAACGGATTTCTCATACGCCGGAACATTTCTGAAATTCTAAAAAATATAAAGAATAATATCATTATGAAATTTTATCTGTACCACTAATATTCTTTTGAAATAATGAATAACACTTTCAGTGGTAAAGCATTAATTTTCAAAGTGGTTTCCAAATATAACAATACAAAATGTTTGAAAAGGTATATTTATAAGTAATTAATCCATAAGCATGTCGAATAGTAAAACACTTAATAAATGTAACTAACATTTCAAATACTATATGAGTGAGGTATATTCACTCAAAATTTAAAAAAAAGGCATCACTATTACAGATGATGATAGTGATTATCAATACAAATCATGACCATGATCATGATTATCATTAGCTTACAATTAATGATGATGATAATGATGATGATGAGGATGACTGTTACTATATCACTTGCATCAATGACTGATGATTATGATCTTAATTAAAATCTTTACCATCATTATACAATTATGATGATGTCATTAATATTTAACACCTAATAAAAGAAAACAGTTTGTTAAAGTGTAAATAACTTTTACTCACTGGTAGCTCAATTCTAGCCGTTATTTTCTGAGGTTTCTTAATATTTTTGACGTAGAGAATATTGCCTGACAATGTGCCTTTACCCGTGTTACTACAGTCAGTGTTGTATGTAGGTAAACCTGCACAACCTAGAAACTATGAGGCAAAAAAAAAATCAAGTAGTGTGTCACATAGTAGTAAATGATGGTTGAATAACAAATTACACAAGAATAAAGATCATGGCTATGTACTCACACGGATGCTAACGGTTAGCAGGTTCCGAATCCTGCTAACCGTTAACTGCCGTGCGTCCATATAAGAAAATCCTGATCCAGATACCAAAAATATGATGATCGAATCACTGGCCAATAAGAAACTGGAAATTGTAAATGCATACATGTGATTGGTTTATGATAAAAACTGATAGTGCTTGCTAACCATTAACGGTATCCAGATACCGCTAACGGTTAGCGCTAACCGATCAGGCGTTCTCACGCAGGTGCTAATGGTTAGCTCTAACGGTTAGCTCCCGATCCGGATACTAGGGCTCTCCTGAGAACCAGGCTTAATTCAATTCAATTCAATTCACTTTATTGCTTCATAAGCCATCGAGGGCTACTATCCGCTACTTATTTGTTATCAATTTCAAATAAATTAGTGTCTGAGGATTATATGCGGTGAGTTTAAAGGCAGGCGCTCCACGTTAGACTACGCGACATTGTCTGATGAATGTCGGTGGCAGTATGAACATCATTAAAGTTGCATGCCTCGTAGCGTTGTTTATAGAATTGCATCGGCTTTTCCAAGATTCTGTAGAGTGAAGTGGATAAGAGTGTAAAATACTTCCCCTGGTTAATAATAACTTGCTTGTATTTAACATGAATTAGCCAGCCTTATTCTAATACATACCTTGCAGACCACATTCAGCCTGGGTTGTACAGTTATGTTTCCAGCTGCATCATGTAGTTCAACATCAAACACCAAAGGTTTACCATTCTCCAGCTCTATATCTTCATCCGACATACTGGAAACAAATATCGAGGACACAGGACCTACAAATTCATAGACGGAAGATCATTTAATGCAGAGGTGGGCATAAAAGTCGGTTGGTGGGCCAAAGTGAATTTTTGATTTAAGACCAAGAGCCACAACCCAAAATTTGATGTTTCAGTGAACTTCCAAACACCTGCAAGCACTGCTTTTACATTACTTTATTCTCAGCTGCAATGTTACTTTTTACATATGGTCGGTGTTGGACTGTGAAAAACAAGGTGTTTTCTAGCCAATGTTGCTTGGGAGGCCGCACACATAGGGTTTTTAATTCATTTTCACGGGCCGCGCTTTGCCCACCTGTGATTAAATGGATGATAATCAGATGATATAAACAGTTATAACAGTATACAAGATATAGTTATGTGATCATCATTAATCTTCTAATCTTTCTTTTTCGCCCGTATTTAGGAACGTACTGAGTATTCAATAGGATTATTGATTATTATTATTGATTATTGATTATTACATCAGGTAGGGAAAACACATCAATCTTCTAATTATAATATGAAAAAATGTAACATCACAAAGAGCTATGGTATATAATTTAACATTTTGAAGAGGGTACAAAACATACTTTTCTGAGACATCTCCTTCATTCCTCAAAAAATTAAATTAATGATCATTTTATGTACTCACCTGGAAGAAGTCTAAATTTCATCGTCTCTTGTGGGTTTTTCAAACTCGGCAGACTAATATTGAAGCTGAAGTCCTTTCCAGTCGCACTGTCAACACTAGCGTTGGCCTTTACATCCTTAATGATAAGTGTGCTACCCTTCAGGACAACACAGTCATACTCTACTTTTAAACCACTGCAAGGAATTGATACAAGAGCAGTGGTTAAGTATAGAGACTTAAATAGCTGAGGAACTAGAAAATTTGTACTGTACTTGGGTCTTGGAGATCAATAACAACAGCTGCAGTACCTATCCTGATGCTGGTGAATCAGACAGTACATAGGGAGACAGTCCCTACTTTTTTCAAATTGTGTATATCCCTGAATTGCCATCAACATGGGCCACATTCTCTATGACCTGTATTTCACAGAAAACCTGACTGAAATAGACCCAGAGTCACAAAGATATCTGTAGTTCAGCACACATACAAAGGTTATAACATACTGTAATCAGGCACAAGTTCTTGATATTTGTAGCATTTCTTTATCTTGATTAGTGTGGTTCAGCGACAGCGATATTTCGTCGACTTATAGTACTAAATAAAGATTAAGGACACAGTTTAACCTGTGTAATGAGCCGTGTGACCCCTTTATTTCAATAAGAAAAACTTGCCAAATCAATGTACAAATGCAGGTACTGTTTAGATTAGGGGATGGAACACAATTAACATCTACACATCCAGTCAAAGTGGGGTGGACAATCGATCTCTCATAATTTTTCTCTACCCAAATACTTTACAACTTTTCTAATTTACATGTAAGGCAAGAGCCAATAAGCATTTAGAATAACTTCGTGAAGAAATCTAATTAACATATCAGGCAAGAGCCAATCAGCTTTTAGAATAACTTTGGGAAGTAATCTCATTAACATATAAGGCAAGGGTCAATCAGCATTAGTTGGGTTAACCCACTTTATAAAAATAAAAGGGTAAGATTTAGTGATACAGACTTTTTGTTACAATATAGTAAATATGCTATGTAAAAATCAAACTTAATTTTTTTGTTGTACTACACAACCTTTAATCAAGATATAATATTACTAACATAACAATTTTAAACAATTTTCAATATAATGCATATTATTAACAATAATAAAATGTGCATGATTTTGAAGATACATTTTTACTCAAAACTTTTTTTAATTGAAAAAAAAATATCTACCTTGCTTCAAGAACGGGTTTCAGGTTAGAGGTTGGTTTAGTTTGATTGCCAAATTCATCATGAACTTTGAGAGGAATGCTGAATGGTACACCAACTCTGAATGGCGGCTCTAGCATCCCTACACTGAATTTGGCAGGTGGGCCCTCTACAATACAAATAAATCCGATGCAGCATGAAGACAATATTGACCATTCTTGTATGGTGAAAGTGATAGATCAGTATGGTGAAGGTATCTCAACTTAAAATGTCATAAGTACAATGAATTGATGGATAGACAGACAGATGAATAGATAAATGGATGGATGGATGGAGGATGAAAAGATAAATGGAAGGATAAATGAATGGATGGATGGATGGAATGATAAATTGATGCATAAAGGAACAGATGGATATATGGATGAATGAATGAATGAAAGGATGGATGGATGGATGAAAAAATGGATGGATAGATGGCTGGATGAATGGATAAATTGATTAACTGATGGATGAATGTTTGTATAGATAGAATGAAAAATGGATGCATTAAGGAATGGATAGATAGATAGATAGATAGAAGAAGGGATGAATAAATAGATGGATGGATGGATGGTCTTGAAAGTAAAAGGTCATACCACATGTAACATTTTTTTTTTCTCGTGTGAATCATTTATTATCATGAGACACTTACCAACTACAGAGAATTTAATTTTGTGTGATGGTAGTGGCTTTCCACCAAATGACACAGCATTGCTTTCATTTATAACGCACTGAAGCTTCAGTGTATAGTTACCAAGAGTCTTCACATTCTCTGAAATACAAAATTGATGGTAGCATATAACACAAATGTAACTTATATTTTTGAAATTGTAAATTAATTTTTTATGAGCCATGAAAACACAACGTGACAAAGGCATGTGCAACAGTTCCATTTTCATTGACAATTCACCCAGTTCAGTCTGCCATTGACAATCAGCAGACTGCAGCACTTATGGAAAGTGAAGACAGACTCATTGGGCAGCATTTGTACAACCGTCGTACAATGCAGTGTGTGGATGGCTTTACACTGTACTGATTGCTAACTTACCCATTTTTCTGAACCAAAAAGAACTCCATTTCTTGCCATACTGACTGATATAAGATACAATCTCTTCATCTCTTACTGGAGCTGAAAAATTTTATATAAATAGTCAGTGAAGTTGGATAAAAGAAGATAATAATCTTTATTATTAACTTTATTAAGGCATATATAAGGCAACTATTCCAGAAACATAAAAACACAGCTGTTCTCTAACTATTTAGAAATCAGAAAACGTTTTAAAAAGTACAATGTAAGAGGCAAAAAAAAACCAAAATTTTTTTAAGTATATAAAAAGTAGCATTGTAAAAAACACAGGAGTTTAAATACAAGATTATGGATAGTAATTGAAAAGAAAAAATTTGAATTATTGCATCTTACTAATGATATTGTTAACCAGGTATTGGTTTCAACACAAAAGAAAATAATTATTAACATTATATATAATTAAAGAAAACTTTCTTAAAACTGTGCTACCAGTACAAAATATAGTATTAGTAAATGAAGAAAATAAAAGAATTACAGTGCAAGATCATTTTCAATTCAACCAAGAGGCGTTTGGAGGAATGCTGGGAGCCTGGTAGTCGAGAGATAGCATCACCATTACGATTAAGTATTTCAACTTGGATAGCACCTGTAAGAACATAATAGTGTATAGATTGTAAGAATGATAGCATCATGTCTTTTGTGATTCTTTTTTTCTCTCTTTTTTTCAATTATTAATTTTATTTATAGGACTTGTATTATTAAGTCACATATCTATTTCAGAAGAACAGGTCATGGAATGTTTTTCCTGTGGTCATTGGATACAGAATCAATCATACACAACATACAACCTCCCCTGTTTCCCATGGAGTACTCCTAGTTATTTGTGTAATTCGGTATTACTGATTTTAATCCTAATTATACACCTCCTACCACGTACCCATTTATACTTCTAGGTGAAGAGAGGCTTTTGTAGGTAAAGTGTCTTGCCTAAGAACACAAACAATGTGACTAGGATCAAGCCTGCTTTCCACCAGGCAAATTTGTTCAAGCAAATCAAAAGCGTCGGTCCGCTTCCTGAGCTCTGATTAGTTGCGCAAAAAAAAGTAGAAACAGTTCTAGCTACTGATTTCGCTAAATGTGAATGTGTATGAACCAACGCTTTCGATTTGCAAGAATAGATTCACCCAACGCCTTAACAGCTCTGCCACACAGCTTCCAAAACTACAGAGGTGTACACCTAATACCAAGGTCCATTTCCAACCATCATTCACCACATGTATGTTGGTTGGTACAATGGTATACAATGTTATCCATAGAGGGCTAAAATCCAGGGTTACATTAATATCAAATTCATAAAAATATAAAGGTTCAAAGTGTTCTTTTAAAACATCATACTAGTATTTTCAATTGTATTTTATAGATTTTGGCTCATTCAGACTTTTTTGCTTTTGCCTCATCAATATCATTTTAACAATCACCATAACTTTAATATACTATCATCTGTCATTATTACCATTACTGGTTAGATGCTTTTTAATGCTTACCAATCGTTTTACCAGCAGGTCTTTTCTCATTGGGTAGAACATCAAAATCTTCTGGCCAGGTAATCAACAGCTTTTCAGGAAGCCTGTGGAGAAAACTTGTGTCTTTATTTCTCTTTTCAGTTCAAAAACAAAACTAAATTCACTTGCTGTTGGGTTGGTTAAATGAATTACACTAGAAACTATCCAATCCAAACCATATTTAAATGTTATTAATTTATTGATTAAACTAAACAATGCCTCCTATAACAAAAGTAGGTCTTTCTCAATACAGAGTTCCATGTATCATTGGCATTTGTAAAGTTATCCAGGTCTCTCTCACTGTGGGTACTCCGGGTATTGGGACCAGTATAGCTGCATTTTAAAATGACTCCACATAGAGAATCACTCCAGTATATTTTTTCTATGAAAGAATTCTAAAGCCCTAAAACATGTGACATGACTAAAAATGGCCATGATGACATCACATCATGACTTAATATGGGCATACACC